GTAGATTTGTGGAACCTCTTCTACAGAAAAGGTTAGAACTGGCAGGAACCCACCCCTGATGATATCACTTCCTACCATAGACATCCACTTGGAATATTTTTTCAGCCATTCCAGCTTCATTGGTTGCCTGGCAGGTGTATTGAGCCGAATCAGAGACTTGAGCATGAGGGATCTGAAGAAATTGTCCATGTTCCAAATAAAGAGCTTGGGGTCCAGAAATAATTGGGCTTCCATCTTTATACCATGTTATTGTAGGAACTGGAATTCCTCTTGCTTCACACTCCAGCTTCAAGCTGGTATGTTGCAATGCTGACACCTCCGTGGTAATGTTTTCTCCTTTAATTATAGGTGGAACTTTGTAGAAAAGGAATGAAAAAAAGAACAGTAAGATTCAAAAACAAATATACAAAATACCCTATTAGCAAAGAAAACAAACAGGTGGAACATTAAACAAATCAACTCAGAGTTCTCACTTGAAACACAAATGACCAGACTCAAATTATCCTACTTTAGGCACATTATGAGAAGACCTAACTCCAGTGGTGGGATTCAAATAATTTACCAACCGGTTCTCTGTCCTAATGACCAGGCAGGGCTTAGTGGTCATGTGACCGTGTGGGCGGGGCCAACTCAATATCACTCAGGTCGATGGGCGCTTCACCTTAGCTGTTACAATGTAATAAGGGTTAATGGGAGAGGCAGTTTCTGTAAGCAGGGCAATAAAGATTAAGCTAGAAACAACACTAGAATGTTTCCTTCCTGCCTTCCTTATAGGATTAGCCCTGTAAAGTGGGGAAAAAACCAAAAGATTTCTTGCAAGAACCGGTTCTCTGAACCTCTTAGAAAGTTAAGAACTGGTTCTCCCAAAATTGGTGCGAACTGGCTGAATCCCACAACTGTCTAACTCCCTGGAGAAGGCTCCAGTGCTTGGAAAGTTAGTTAGCATGTTAATAGGAGATCTAAGAAAGAAAGAAACTCTCTATAATGTTAAGTAAGTGTGTGTGTGTGTGTGTGTGTATGTGTGTGTGCGCACGCACACACACATATACATATACATGTACATATGCAATGTTTTATAAGGAGAAATTTTCTTCAAATACATATTTTTCAGTTCATTACTAAACCTTTGATTCTGCTTTTGATTAATTTTGTTTGACAGCTAATGCCAATCCTTTACATTTTAACTTTAGATATTGATTTTCTCTTAAAATATGTGGTTACTGTGTTTTATGTGGTTTTAATTTTGTGAGCTAGTCTGAGACTCTTTTCTTCCAAAGAAAATGGGGCATATATTTCTTTAAAAATAAGTGAGTGAGACAATGAGACAGAAACATGGCACACACACACACAGAGAAGTCACATATCCAAGTCTTTATAAAATTTAGAGTAGAGATTTGAGATCTTTTGATGAGCTCCAGTTGACCAAATATGATATCTTTCTAATTATAAGGGCCAAGTACTATAAGAACATGTACACATGTAAAAGCAGTTTAATTTTTTTTTTTAAAAAAAGAAGTCTTGATAGTCACTGCATTGCTAGCCAACTCAGTACCTTAAAAAGAAAACAGCTTTACTAAAGACTTTAAATTTCACCCAAGAAACCTCATGTGACTTTAAAAACCAGAAGTTTTTAAAGCACCCTGATGATTTTAATATGTTTTGAAATCCGGAACTAGACACCCTTGCTCTTCAAGCAAATATATGCTCTTCAAGCCTATAATAATGATTGTAAACTAATCATTTGCAGATGCTTGTAAATGACATTCACAGCACACTCATATGGTGTAATAAACAAGTTTCCAAATGTGATTGCTGATGGTGGAAATGTATTCATGCTAACTACAACCTATGCTTTCAGAATGACTAAAACCCAACCTGTGATAGGTTTCAAAGATAACATACAGTCAGGTGTATTGGTTGGCAAAGAAAAACATGAATGTATTCAAATGTATGGCATGTCTAGCAATAGCAATAGCAATAGCAGTTAGACTTATATACCGCTTCATAGGGCTTTCAGCCCTCTCTAAGCGGTTTATAAAGTCAGAATATTGCCCCCAACAATAATCCGGGTCCTCATTTTACCCACCTCGGAAGGATGGA